GTGCCCTTTCAAGCAGAAGTCCCGCAGCCCACAGAACTGCAATTTGAAATGTCACTCAGGAACGTTCTGTGCCTGCAGATGAAGGGGAGAGCTGGTGTCTGCCTGAAATGCTGCTCTCTCCGCAGTGAGACCCCTTACCCTCTCCAGAGCTGCAGTTATTTCATCAGTGCCGTCACCAGTGCAATTTGGCAACTCGTGTCATTTGTGCTTCCTGTCACATCCCTGCTTGACTTGCTCAGAGACTTTTGAAACTCCAGTGAGCCCCCCCTGCATTGCTTCCTATGGCCCTCAGCTCCAAAAATCAGTCTCGGCATGACACTCAGTCCCTTTCTTAACAGCTTCCAGTAAGAGAAATGGAAACCAAATTCACATCGTCACCCCATCAGAACTCTCAGCCACGAGGCTTTCCAGCCATTTCACATGCTGCTTTTAGTTTTGAAGCTTCAGATCCATGTCACATCCTCTACAAAAGCCAAATTCAAGATTACCCACACAACTGTAGAAAGGAAAGTCTGTGTCTCAGTGTACGTGATAGACCCCAGCCCCCTCCAAAGCAAAATGGAAGCGTCTCTGGTTCAAGGCAGCCTACACAGCAGTGAGCTGCAGAAGCTGTAAGCTATTATTTTAGCTCCCAAGGAAAGTAATTACTATAGCAACCAACACATCCGAATGGCTCTTTGGCTGCTACTGAGACACAAACAACTTGCACACAAAGGCACATCTGAAACGTGCTGCGTAAAGTGTTCTCGGGTAGCCGTGTTCTTTTGAAGAGCTGTATAAATGGGCAAAACTGGCTCCTGATAAATGACTGCATGATCCTAAAATAACCTAATCAATGGCTTGGTATATTTGCCCCTGAAGAGATGAAACAAAACCAGTGTGGGCTCCATTTTAAGCCTGAGTGCTGGGAAGTACCCAGCAGAGCTGAAGATATATTCAATAAACAGACAGTGAAATGGTGGGGGAATGTGTCCCCTCTTGTTCTGTGTTCTGATGCAGACTTCCTGCAGGCTTTAGCACCAGCTCATCCTCTCGGGCTTACATGAAATTTGTTGGGAGAAGGGGATTTAATCACAGCTTTATAATGCTGGAGGGTGTAACAAGTGACGTTCGCATTCTTTTCTGTGTCTGTGCAGCAAACAGACCCATCTCCAGCTGCAGCACTGGGTACGTTACAGGTGCTATCAGTGAATAAGGAAGCTGCTTGGAGAACAGAAAACTAATCATTGGCCATTGCTTAAGTATTGCAGCATTTCCAGTGTCACCTTCAAATCAAAGTGCAGCTTGATCGCTTTTGGGCTCTGCATGCAAAGCTGCACCACAAACAGATTAGCTTCCCCAGAACAAGAGATGTGGTCCAAGCAAAATGGCTCAGGAGTGCTGTCCAAAGACTCCCCACAGGGCAGACACAGACATGTCACCTATCTTCAGGACACTGAGTGGCATTAACATCATACTCCTCTGTTACACAAGGCAGCTCTGCTGAAAATGGGGGCTGTTGATCTGGGTAACTCAGAATAAAGCTGGATCCTGGAAGTGAGCACAACACATCCCTTCACAAACCTGAATTGCCTTTTAAGATCTTTTTTTCATCAGTGCAGGCCTACAGTCATGCCGCAGGTCCCAGATGAAAATCACAACTGGGCTGAAAACAAAGACAAAATTGAGGACGGAAATGTAGCTGATGTAATTTATTACACAAGTGCCTTATGACCAACAAAAAAGGATCTTGTGATAGCAGGTACAGCACAACAGAGAGTTCTGGTTGACTGTACCTTTTTAAGCAAAGTCACCTTATTTTGGATTAAAGAAAAACATCTGGGGGAAAAAAAAGGTACAAAATAAGGTCACTGTAAGAAAAGAGCACAAGGATGTGTAAAACTTGATCCTTCACTTCTGCCTTGTGGAATGGCAGCTGCCCTGCAGGCACCTGGAATTTCCAAACTGCTGATCTCAGGAAAATGATTTCTCCTCTGTAATTTTTCTCACAAGTTTATTTTCTGACTGTAGTTGACAGTGCCTTAAATGGCTTCCTCTCAAAAAATGAAAACCAAGCCAAAAACAAAACCCCCATGAAAACAAACCTGTTCTGTTCTTTTTCACACTGTGCCTTTTTATTAGCTTTTGCTACTAAACAGAAATCTCTTGCGTGGTTTAGAGGGGCAGGGGCCAGGCTTCTGGGCAGCACACAAGCTGCCTTCACCCCATGCCTTTGCTATACCTGCAGGGTCACTGGCTGTGATAGAGAGGATGAATGCTTGTTCTTCACAAGCATTTTGGGATGCAAAAGGCTGCTGCAGTACCTTTTCACTGTGAGCGAGAAGGTGAGAAGAGCAAGGAGGAGAGGTGTGGAGAAGAGAGCTGGTGCTGCTTGTGCAGAGCCACAAGGCAGAGAAGTGAAACCAAAGAGATGCGCCCCAAGCTCTTCTGAACACTCATCAGTGGAAGTGCCCTGCTGCCAGTGTCAGGCATGTTCAGGCCTGGTGCTGTGGTTTTCTTTTGGGAAGAAAGAAGAGAATAATGCAAGGAGCTTGTATTTGACTCTCACTGTAAGCAAACCTCAGCGCCACAGTGAATAAGGCCTGAAGCAAACTCTTATAAATAGGAATGAATAAAAAAGAAATCCAGTGTAGTGAGATGCTGAACATGACTCACTTGTATCCTGCCTCTTCCCATTGTCTGCCTCCCCCAGTCGCCAGGGGCAGACGGGTAGGACACATGTAAAGGTGAACTATGAGAAATCCTCTATGTAATGAAGCAGGACTCCTGGAATATTTTGCTCCAGTCCTGAAGCTGACATTGCTCCCTTGCCCTTACTGCTTTATGCAAGATTGAGTCTTGTGCAAGCTGGTTACTTTCTGCTTTAACTGTCAGCTTGAAAACTCTGTGCATGGCTCATGAACAGATTTGTCTGTGGTACTGCTTCTGCACCTGCACAGCCTTAGATGTCACTGGGGCTTCAGTGATCTTGCATCTGTGACGGTATATGAGAAATGAAAGAGTGTGCTTGGCTATCAGACAAAGACTTCTGGATCTTCTCTAGTGTGGATCAGAGAAATGAATACAAATAGCAGCTCCTGTCATGCTAAAAACCGACACCTTAAAAGCTGAAATGCTTCCTGTGTCTGGAGAAAGCACACTGAGAGAGAGGTGCTGAAGGAGCTGAGGAGTGAGATTCTGTGCACGTGAAAACCCTTCACAAATCAGTTATAAATGTGGCTCTCATCTTCCCTTCCACCTGCCTTCCTTGCTCCAAAGTTTGTGCTGTTTCAAACAGGAGGTGGGATTGATGAGCAGTAAAATATACGTATACTTGCAATGTTGGTTTCAGATAGAGATCACTGGTTGTGAAGGTGCAGAAGGAAACACGGGAGCAGCTCTTTGTGTTTCACTGCAAACATGAGGCCATCAGTAACAAAGAAGTGCAGGTTTCAAAACCACCTCTGCTCAGCCCTGTGGTTGTTCCTGGGTCAGCTTGGGATCCGTAGTTTTTCCTGTCTAAAAGCAATTGCTGTGTTGGAAATGAGTATTTGGCAACCACTGGTTGATTTATTGAGGGTTTTTTGGTGGCAGTTCTTGGAATTATTGGTTCTTCAAGCAAATTCTGAAAAGGGGCCTCAGAAATACACAACAATGTCGAACTGTAGTGAGGTTCTTTCACCTCGCACGTGAACCTTGCCAAGAGATGTCAAAAACGTGCACACACATTGCTTAAATGTTGGTATGGTTTTTTTCTCTGTGGCTGATATTGCCTGAAGAGACAGACAGGAAAGGCTGGTGTTTCAAAAGATGAGGAGTTTTTAATGGAGTCCGGGTCAGGACCGTGTGCACGTGAATTTGAGATTAACACCTGGGCAGCCAGAAGGTTCCAGAGAGACCTTGTAACAGTATTCCAATACCTGAACAGGGCCTACGGGAAACCTGGAGAGGGACTTTGGACAAGGGCCTGTAGGGACAGGACAAGGGGAAAGGCTTTAACCTGGCAGAGGGGAGATTGGGATGAGATCTTAGGCAGTTCTTCCCTGTGAGGGTGGTGAGGCCCTGACACAGGTTGCCCAGAGAAGCTGTGGCTGCCCCATCCCTGGCAGTGTTCAAGGCCAGGTTGGATGTGGCTTGGAGCAACCTGGTCTAGTGGAAGGTGTCCATGCCCGTGGCAGGGGTTGGAACTGGATGAGCTTTAAGGTCCCTTCCAACCCAAACCATTCTGTGGTTTTATGAGCACTGAAATGCCCTGAGACCAATTTAGAGCTCTGTCAGCAGGCACTAGACCTGACTTGTCCTTCCTGTGGAGGGCCTCAGGGAGGGGTATAATGGGATAAAGCACCCTTTTGTCATGTCATACTTCACAAGGGCCCTGAAGGCTGTAGCACTGTAATCATGAAACTGGGGAAGCAGCACTGGTGGCTGCAATGCTCTGCCCTCTGAACGCCCTGAACATGCAGGCTGGCAGCCGCGCTGCGTCCCCCGGCAGCACAAGCCAGAGCACGTACCGCTTTTCCTCCCTCTTTCCGGCCCCCTTCCCTCTCTCCTCTGCCTCCCCCAGCTTCCCGGACCCAGAGGGCTGACGGCACCGATCCGCACTGCACCGCATCCCTCCATAGCCCCACGGCATCCCTCCACAGCCCCACCGCATCCCTCCACAGCCCCACCGCATCCCTCCATAGCCCCACCGCATCCCTCCACAGCCCCACCGCATCCCTCCACAGCCCCACCGCATCCCTCCACAGCCCCACCGCATCCCTCCATAGCCCCACCGCATCCCTCCATAGCCCCACGGCATCCCTCCACAGCCCCGCCGCATCCCTCCACAGCCCCACCGCATCCCTCCACAGCCCCACCGCATCCCTCCATAGCCCCACCGCATCCCTCCATAGCCCCACGGCATCCCCGCACCGACACGGGGCGTTGGGAGCAGCCTATGCGCGGCCAAACCCCTCCCCGCGCCATGTGAGGCAGCCATGTGATGTTTATGACCGCTCTTGAGATCCGTGTTCGCTCCGCTCCCGGCCCCCATCGCTTCCTCCCTGCAGGGCCGCGGCTCCCGGTGGTGGTGCCGGGGGGGAAGGTTTGGGGAGCGATGACAGAAGTGACGAGGGAGGTGTTCGGGCACATGCCCCGGGAGGAAGGAGGAGGAGAGGTGGAAAAATTCACCTTAAGGTCGGGCAGCGTGAAGGTGGAGATCCTGTCCTTAGGGTGCATAATCGCGGCCCTGGAGACGAGGGGCAGGGATGGGGTGTTTTCGGATGTTGTCCTGGGCTTTGACACTTTGGAAGGTGGGTCCGAACCTGTCTCTTTGAAACGAAATAATTAAGAAATCGGGCAATTAAACCAGTGTTTCCTGTTTTATTGCAACAGGGCATGAGCTGCTCCTAACAGGCCCCTCCAAATCATGGGATAAATAAATGCAACTTCTGCTGCCTGGGCTGGGTGGTGGAGGGGGAATGGGGACACTGGTGGCTCCAGGTCTCTCTCATGCTTTGACTGGCAGTGAGAGGCTTTTTCTGCATATCTGCAAAGGATACAAGATCCCATCAGGCTATTTTAATAAAAAATCATAGAATTATATGACCACAGAATGGTCTGGGCTGGAAGGGATCTTAAAGCTCATCCAGTTCCAAGCCCCCTGTCACGGGCAGAGACACCTTCCCCTAGACCAGGTTGCTCAAAATGTGCCTGAGCTGTGTGTCCTGTGAAGCACCAGGACTGCAGTCACCTATTCAGTACCGGGGGGAAGCAGGGACACCTCTCAGGAGACCACCCATCCTGTCCCGTTCCCCCTGTTTAACCACGCGCTGTCTTTCCGCGCAGGTTACACGAGGAAGCACCCCTTCTTCGGTGCCGTCGTGGGGCGCGTTGCCAACAGGATTGCGAAGGGGAGGTTCACGGTGGACGGGAAGGACTATCAGCTCTTCCTCAACAACGGGCCCAACAGCCTGCACGGCGGAGCCAGGGGGTTTGACAAGGTGAAAACCAGGCTGGTTGGTCGCGGTGTCCTCCAGCACGCAGCCTGCGGGGCTGTGGCAAGAGGGTACTGGTGTCTTCGCTCCCCACCCTGCGGGGTTTTCTGGTGGTTGTTGGGTTGAATCAGCTCCCAGAAAGTGCTGTAAGTGCAGGGATGGGGAAGTGAGAACCTCTGAGCGCTGGGTTGGCTTGTCTTTGGTGGGTGGCTTAGCAGGGATCACTTCTGTCATCCTTGGCTGCCGTGCATATGGTTCCTGTGCTTCCTCTGTGTTACTGCCGCCCTTGAGGCCTCGTGAGCTCAGTTTTGATGGGGGTGTCCTGCGATGAGGTGCTGCTCCCTCAGAACTGGAGTTGGGACATGGTGGTGAGGAGCCACCCTTGTGCATGCTTTCAGGCTGTTACCTGACATTGCTGTGTCCCCTCGCCAGCCCTTCTCTGTGACCTCCAGAGAGACAATACCCTTTCCCTGGCCTCAGGGCACTCAGTCCTTCCCATCTTTTCCCAAGAGCTGCTGCTGAATTCCAGATACCACCCATGCACTACAAGTGGTAAGAGCAGTGGAGCATCTCCTCTCATGAAAGCCTTGCTGATTAACCTTGCTGACTGCATATACAGGCTCAGAAGTCTCTGCTTGCCTGAAGCCTTGGGCTTTGTTGGATCAAATGCACTTGTAACCAGCAAGCACACTTTTCCCCACAGGAACACACGTGAATATGCTGGTCGAGCTGTTTCGCTGGGTTAATGTTTTGTTTGTGAAAGGACACCCAGGGGCAAAAGTCCGAGTGTCTGATAAAAAACCCTCACCTTTGGGCAGCACGGCGTGAATTGGCATCAGATCAGGATCAAGTGCTCCTCAGCAGCCTTAGGATAAAGGGAGTGACTTGGCTGTTGCACCCCCAAAGAGGACAACTTGGTTCAAAGTTTCTTTATACACCCTGACCGCAGTGCGCTGGAACCATGCACTCCTTTGCACCCATGCTTCCAGGCTGTCTTCAGCAGAGGAGACATGGTCTCTTCCCCTACCTCTTCCCCTTGCTGAAGACATGCCAGCTTGATGCCAACAAGGCAGCAACACTTCCCAGTAAGAACTTGGGGGAAAGCTCAGGCCCCTGCTCAAGACCCCCTCCAGCCAAGTAATGGTCAGCCCTAACAAAAACAAGACACGCTGGCTCTTGGCTGTGACTCATTGCTCATTGTTTTTTCCTTTCTTGCAGACCTAGGTGCTGTGGTCAGTGTGTGTTCTGATCACAAGGGAGTTTGCAGACACACTTAAGTGGTGGCAATATCTGACCGCACTGCTGGGAGGCTGGGGAGCCTTAGAAAATAACACTTAGCTTTAACAGACAGTGCTATCTGTGTGCTTGCTGGCCCTTAATAGATTTTGCTTCAAAGAACTTAAATAGAAACCCATACGTAAAGCCACAGTGTCCCACAGCAGTGGGAGCTGCAGTGGAAGCACTCGGTGCAGGAGGACCTGCTCTGCAGCCTGCTCATCACAGTTTTTGAGCAACCTGGCAGGGGTTGGAACTGGATGAGCTTTAAGGTCCTTCCCAATCCAAACCATTCTGTGATTCTATTTGGCACCCTCAGTTCCCGTGTTTGGTGAAAATTATGGCTTTTGACAAGTGCTCTGAGTTTGTGATGTCTGCATAGGACATAAAAGGGGTCATCTCTAAAGCACTGTGTGGTCCCTCCCCCTAGCTCTGTCCTCTTTGACTGGTAATGACTGTTCCTTAGGTAGATGCAAAGCTCCAGAGACTGGGAACCTCACTTCTTGTCACATACCTGTCCTGCAAGGGACTGAGATCTGCTTAGCATCAGGTCCATGGCCAGGGTCAGACAGGCTGTCTGGACAGCTAAGTTTCCAGTGTGCTGGCTTGCTTCACTCACCAGCAGGTTTGGCTCCAAGCAGAGCCCTAGTCTCTGGCAGGGGCAAGGAACGGAGAGGTCTCAGTTCTGTGGATTAGCACTGACATGGATGTACCTAGCAATACATTTGGTATCATTTAACCGAACCCAGGAGCTCCCTGTGTGTATTTTGTCCTAGAAGCAGCACTGAGTGAGCTGAGGGAGGGGTGGCAGCTTGTTGAGGTGATGTTGCACACCAGGATATCCATGGGAGGGGGAACAAGTGCAACTGCAGGGCAAAAATCAAACACATGGACCCTCTGAGGCATGGAGTAACACAGGCTGGGACAGATCCCCATCACAGCAAACTGCCCTGGCTGTTTGGCTGCCCATTGGAAAGCTTGCTCCCTGCTGCTGGCACTGGCTGACCAAGGGCAGGCTGGTGCTTGTGTTTCCTCTCGGTTCCTTTTTTCTTTTTCAACCAGGGGATATTGGTTTTTAGTCCTTCACAGGGAGACTATTTGGGTTTGTTGGGGTTTTTCCCCTCCTAGGAAAGATGATTGAAAAAGCTGTGTTTCAATGCATTATTCCTTGAGCACCTTTGTGCCTGGGTCCTTGCAGGTTCTCTGGAGCCCCCAGGTCCTCCCGAACGGTGTCTGCTTCTTCCGGCTCAGCCCCGATGGAGAAGAAGGCTACCCTGGTGATCTGCAAGTCTGGGTGACCTACACGCTCAATGGTGAGGAGCTGGCCATCAACTATCGAGCCCAGACCAGCCAGACAACACCCATCAACCTGACAAACCACGCGTACTTCAACTTGGCAGGGCAGGTAAGCGTGGGGAGATGAGCGCCATGGGGGGACACTGCAGGGAAAGAAAGCCTGGGGACCCATGGGATGATCCATGGGCTTCCCATGAGGTGCTGAAACCAACATGCTGTGGGGAATCAGCATTCCTGGGACACACGAGTGAGGGTTGTCTCTATGCATCATGGGTTGGGACAGGACTGAATCACATAGACCTCAACTGAGGACACATTATCCCAGAGCATTGTGAACAGAGACATGAATATTAACTCTCCTTTTGTGTGTGAATGGGGAGTTTGTCTCTCCTGGTCCCTCAGAATATGTACAGAACTGGCACGCCCTAGCGATGGACTGGCATTTCTTAGTTGCCTTATGTTGGCACTTCTGAGACAACACACTGAACCTTTGCTGGATGGTGCTGCTGAGATCAGTGCCTGTAGTGCCAGCCAGAGTCAGTGCAGCATGGAAATACTGAGGTCAAAATGGGGAGGAGAAGCATCATGGAAAGAGGATGTGAGGCAGCCAAGGTGGGGAAGTAGCAGGGTGCAGAGAGCTGCCACATACCAGAGTCCTGCCAAGTAGACAAGCACTGTATTGTAGCTGCATTTGAGTCTCACCCTTTTTATAACCGTGCTTGGAGGAAAAGGATCTGCGAAATTCAATATTGCTGGGCAGAGCAATAGGATGGGATAGTGCACACTTGGATGTGAGACAAAGACCCTTAGAAGGGTTAGTGAGAGACATCCCAGTCCCTCCATGCAGAAGGTCTGCTCAGGCTTCTGCTCTAACAATTCATCCCTGTCAGTGTTCAAGGCCAGGTTGGATGGGGTCTTGAGCAACCTGGTCCAGTGGGAATTGTCCCCATGGAAGGAGATTGGAACTAGATGACCTTAAGGTCCTTTCCAACACAAACCATTCTGTGATTCTGTAATGGCTGTTCAGTTGTTAGCTTACCCTCTGTTTGTCCTCCCAGTGGTACCGTAATAGCCTGCAGCATGCAGCTCAGGTGAACAGGAGACCTTTGGCCATGAAATTGCTGCTCAGATTAGACAGTGACGTGCAGGCTCAGCTTAGATCCTGCTCCCAACCCAGCAGGCTCCCTGCCAGCATCCCCAAGGCTGCAGGAGGGGGAAGAGGAGCGCAGCCAGCCTCTGCCTTGCTGCAGGAGATGAGCCAGGAGGATGGGTTGCACTTCCCCATGCTTCCTTCCCCTTTTGCCCATTGCTGTGTGCTCAGCAACAGCATGTTTTGGCTAGTCTGATAGTCTCGCAGGATTTACAGATTCTAGGTCCCATGGACCCCTAGGATTTACAGGTTTTGGCTATGTTGGTACCTTTGTCCTGTACCCCAAGTGAAGGTGGGATGACAGCCAGGAGGTCCCCCAGGCACTACAAGGTCAGTTGTACCACTGTGGGCAGTCACATCTGGGCTGTGCTTAAAGATGCTTGAATGGTGGAAGGGCTGCAGCAGGAATCCCAATATTTGCCATCCTCCTGCAGGGCTCACGGGATATCTACGACCATGAGATCTCTATTGAAGCAGATTCCTACCTGCCTGTGGACAACACCAAGATCCCCACTGGTGGGTGGTGAGACATGCGGTGCACATGGTGGAGGAGGTTTTACGCATGAGTGTGTGTGGGTGTTAAGGAACAGCACTGCCCAGCAAGGGGAAACACAGGACCCCAGGAACAGGAGGGCCCTCACCCACAGGTGAGGACTCCAGCACTGAGCTCTAGAGCTGCTGGGATCTCTGGTGCTCAGGAGCCCAGCATCATCCTTCCCTGCAAGAGCTAAGCCATCAGTCCCCTCACTGGGACAGGAGATCTGGCACTGCTGGCTGGGAGGCTGAAAACACAAAACCAACACTTTTCTTTCCTGCCTTTAATGTTCTACATGATTAAAAGAGGAAGGCCAGTTAAGGAAAACAGCATGTTTCTCCCCATAAAGGCCAGGTTGGATGGGGCTTAGAGCAACCTGGTCTAGTGGAAGGTGTCCCTGCCTGTGGCAGGAGGTTGGAACATAATGAGGTCCCTTCCAACCCAAACCATTCTGTGATTCTATGATTCTATAAATGATCAAGCTGATGTTAAACAATCTGAACAAGCTGGGACAAGAAACATGTTCCTTATACCTGCAGGAGATCCAGCACTGAGCACATGCCCTTAGCAATGGCCCTGCACTCAACAAGGGGGCACCTTGCTTTGGGTGGCTTGACTGCAACCCTCCCAAAAAACAGCTTCTCATGTAGTGTGACTGCTGAGTTGCAGTAGGAGTTTATCTAATTGCAAAATGATTCTTGATACCAGGTTATATTTGCTTTAAGAGTGAAAAGCACAAAGGGCAGAGAAGTTGGGTGCAGGGCAGGATGTGTGCCCCAGTGCTGCATTGAGCCCCTGGGCGGCTTCTGGTAAGCGTGAGCTCTGCTGGAAATGGCAGGGCTTGTTTCCCTGATGTTCTCACAGGGCTGCTTTGATGAGTGCACCTTCTGGCTTCATGAGATAGAGCAAGAGAGGCTTTAAAAAGGCAAAAGAAAGCTTTTAGCTCAGGTGTCCGGTAAAACCAGCACTACATCTGTGTTCATGCTGTGTGTGCGTGCATCGGCTTGCATCTGCAGGAGGAGGTCTCACAGCTCCAGTGCCTTTTGCTCAGTTTGGTGTGCCAAGCCCGGGCTCAGGCTGGGGAAGACCTTAAGGCCATACCAAACCTACTGCCCTGCTTCTCCACACTGGTTTCAGCATGGAGCTGTTTCACAGCTTCCCTGCAGCTTTTTGCAGTTCCCTCTTGGTGTTTTGGGTAGATGTAGCTGTTGAAGCTGGTAACACTGTGTGTAGTCTTAGCCCTGGGGTTAGACGAGGTTTAAAGGCAGAGCCCCCGCATGCAGTGACTGCTGTGTTTTATCTAAGTGCGTAAATCAAAATGGTTTAATTTTGTTTTTTCAAGGTGTTTTTTGTGCCCCACAGCTGAATTCAGTGAATGTGCTCCTTTTAGATAGGATCAGAAGCCACAGAGATGTCCTGTTTCTCAGGGTTTGCAGAGCAGAACTGGTGCAGAGCTGCAGCTGAGCTGGGTGCTTTACTGCAGCGAGCAAGAGCACAGCACATGGGACCAGCAGCGGGGCTGGGATGCCCCAGCTCTGCCATTCCCAACACCTTTGGAAAGCTCTGCCTTTAGAGAGGGATAGAAAAATATGATTTTAGGGAAAAACTCCCTTCCCTACCCCTCCTCTGCCTCTCTCACAAGGGTTTGGGATGGCTGTTTTGCACTGTTTAGTATGTCTTAGAGTTGTTCTCACTGCAACAGCTTTATCGCAGGATGCTGTGTCTCCACATCAGGCCTTAAAAAAGACTTGAGAGAAAATGCTGGGTTTATTGTCTTAAGCTTTTTTTTTTTTCCCCAAAACAGTGCCCTGAAGCAGAAGGGGACTGGTCCCAGTATGTAGCCCATATGTCACCATTCTGGGAGGTGGGACACCTCTGTGGCCATCTCATCCAGGAGGATTCATTCATTTAAAGACAGACAGCATATGTATATGTATCTTATGCATATATAAATATTAATAGCTAATAAGTTAATTATTACAAACCCAAAACTTATATAGTTACACATACAGGCTCCCCCTCGTGCTTTCTGTCTCCCTGGCTTTGCTTTATCCCAGCTAAGCACAGCAGTGTCCACAGGGGCTGCTGGTAGGACAAGGTGGTGATGTCCCAGCCTGAGCCACAGCGGCCACAAGGCAGCCTTGCTCAAAGACAGGCACCTCAATGATACGAGGATCACAAGCAGGTTAAACCCTCAGCTCACCAAAGGAAGGGATCTCAGCCCTGCGCAGAGGGCAGCACCATGGGTGTTTGCTGGCACGTGACAGATGACACTGCTATTCTCCTTGTCCAGGGGAGGTGGCCACTGTGCAGGGCACTGGCTTTGATCTCCGGCAGCCTGTGGAGCTGGGGAAGCACCTGCAGAAGTTTGGTCTGGATGGCTTTGACCACAACTTCTGCCTGCAGCAGGAGCAGGCTCGACACCTTGCAGCCAGGTAGGCTTGGGACCCCAGCAGCAGTTTTCCACCCCTGCCTGTTCAGCCAGCTCCTTGGCATCCTCTACTGGCATAGAATCATGGAATAGTTTGGGCTGGAAGGGATCTTCTAAGGTCATCTAGTTCCAACCCCCTGCAATGAGCAGGGACATCTCCAACTAGATCAGGTTGCCCAGAACCACGTCAGCCTGGCCTTGAATGTCTCCAGGGATGGGGCATCCACCACCTCTCTGGGCAACCTGTGTCAGTGTTTTACCACCCTCATTGTAAAAGATTCCTTCCCCAGGGCTCGCCACCCGCCCACCGGCAGGGCTATGGAAGTTCACACCACCCAGCCTGGCATCCAGTTTTACACTGGAAACAACCTGGATGGCTCCCTGAAGGGCAAAGGTGCTGTTGTGTACCCCAAGCACTCGGCTTTCTGCCTGGAAACCCAGAACTGGCCTGATGCTGTCAACAAGGTGAACCTCCCCTCACCCCTGGAGCTGTTTGGGTCCTGTGCAGGGAACTGTACCACCACAGCCACCCATGTCTATATATGAACCTCAGGACCCTTTCTGGTCCCTGGGGTGCACTCACAATCACTGACATGCTGCTGTCCCTCCCCAGCCCCACTTCCCCAACACTCTACTCTACCCGGGTGAGGAGTACAACCATACTACATGGCTCGTGTTCAACACTGCATAGGGGGATGCTGACTCCTATCACCGAGAGGGGTAAGTGCGTCTAACAGATTAGCCAGAAATCCTACCAGGTGCTGAATGGCACTTTCAAAGCACCCTGGGTGATGCATCCCATTTGGGAACTTTGTTCCTCCTCTGTGGTTTTCACCCATGGTTTCTGCTGGCTTTAACTCCTGTCACCACCCCTGCCACTGTCTGGTCTGTGCAAAGAGCTCTCACCCTCTGTCCAGCCTCACCCTGGGCATTAGGCTCTATTTTTCAGTAAAAATGCACTGAAAGCACCTTGTTTAGGACATGGCATGTCACAGCTCAAACTACAGCAGGAGAGTATCTATCTGGTAATGGGCATGAGAAGGCTGATAAAGTTGTGGTTGTTCCTTACATCAGCTATTCCCACTAAAGAGCTTTCTGCTGTGTTGGCTGCTGCTCTGTCGCTGACCTGCGCCACAGCTTGATGTCAGATCATCCCTGCTCTTCCCATGACAGGCAACAGGGCAGCTGTCACGGCTGGAGCAATCAAGTCTGACAGCAGCATTGCAGTGACATAGTTACGCAGTGGTTGTACAGAACAGCTTTGCAGAGGATAGCCTGCTGGGATTATCCCAGCCAGCTGCCCTGCCTCCTCTGGTTTAACTCTTATTTTAAAGCCTAAGAGCATCTATCTGCATTATGCCTTGGCTGCTGAAGTGCAGCAGGTGCATCCATCTATAGTTCTGAATATACAACAGCTGAAAGAAAACCATCATCTTAATGTTGTGTTTCCACATGAACTATGCACTATGCATCATTCCCCAAACTCTGTAACAGGGACCTGTCTGATTATAACCTCTTATGTTTCTGATGTTCATTACAGTAGTTCAGTTACAGTAGTTCTGCCACCCTGACCCCCAAAACAAGCACCCTGCTATTCTGACACACACAGTAGTCACACGTTACGTGGCTGCAGTTCACACTACCTAAGGGCTGGTTGTCATTTGGAGGATAGAGCCATAAGTCCAGGAAATGCTTAGTTCAGGTTGTAAACCAGGGGGAGAAGCACCACCACCCCTGTGGGAGTGGGTTTACCTCAGGCCCATGCCCCTTGCCCACCACCCCCAGTCAGGCTGCACATACCCCACCCAGAGGTGCAGGGCCTATGGTCACAGCAGCAGTCATCACACAAACACACCCCTCTCTGGGCATCTTTTCCAAGAGCATGCAAACATTGCATTCACATTTTTTGGTGAACTACCAAACTCGGTTGACAGCTGGAGCTGTGCAGCCCGCTCCAAGGATAAAGACTGGAGCTGCAGGAGGCACGACAGCTGTACAGATTTGGTACTGCTCTCTCTCTGTACCTCACAAATGCTGGCTGTCCTCCTTGCTCAGGTCCTCACCACTAATCCTAGGTTTAGAGGAACCTCAGTCCCCTGCAGCCTCCTCTGCTCCATCTTCCACAGTGTTTCTGGGTACTGAAAAACAGGTACCAGTACAGCTGTCACATCAGTCTGCAGGTTTATTGTGGAGTAGGCATGCCTTAAGAGTACAGAAAAGAAAAAAGCTCATCAAATTCCAGAGCACTGGCATACATATGCCTCTCACCAGGTACACTATGAACTGGGTAGGCAATGCACAACCAGGAAATATTCCAAACACAAGACACAGACTTTGGGAATTTCTGCTACATCACTGTAGTGTCACTGCCCCCCCCCCCCGCACCCCTCCACTGTGGTGACCATGGAATTAAATGGATATTGCCAGAATATTGATCATTGCTCCCAGCAGATGAAACACTTATCCCCATCGCTGAGCACCACAGGACTGTCCAGGCAGACACCAAGCACCCAACAGTTAGAACCAGGTATAAAGGCCAGACAATACTGCAGCATGACAGTATGCTCAGAACTGGACTATTAACTCATACACTGAAGAAGCTCCATAAAATCACTATTAACAGGAAAACCGGGTTTTAAAACTCATGGGTTACCCACAGTGTGACCAAAGTTAATCTTCTTTTTTTCTGCTGTGCTTTACACACTGGAAGCAAACTGCCATGAGAGACATCGTAAGAAGTTGAAATAAGCCTCACTTTCCATTTCAGTGCCTGCTGCTGAAACTGGACTTTATTTCTGCTAGATGTGTTTGCTTTTCTCCCCTCCAGCTATCAGCTTGTTTGTTCAGTCTAACATCGTTTCCAGTCTCTTGCCGGGATCTGTGTCAAAATGCCTTATCATGCAATTCTTTTCTACAGAATGAGGACAAACATAGAGTTTGACATACCTATACACAAATAATTATTTCTGCAGGTGTGCACTTGCTATGAGAAAATAGCTTAATTCAACAAAACCACCTCCAGGATCTGGGCCGCTTTAAAACCGTATGGATTTCTGTGAAGCAGGTTAGAATTCCTGAGGTCAGCTGAGAGAATCTTTCACTTTAAGGAGGAAGGTTTAAGTGAGATGCATAAAGACTAGTAACAGCTTTCTTTTGCCTCTCAACACATTCTCCTAAGGTCCTTCAGAAAGTAGGCCAGAAGACCTTAAAACATCCCTCCAAAAAGGAAAATGTTAAAATGTTTCAAGACACAAGTTTTCTTTGTATTAACAGCCTAAAGAACCAAAAAATGCAACAAGCTGCAGTAGCAGTCATCAAGTTATTAATGATTTATGTTTAGAGATTTATGCAGATGTCACTCTTTTACACAGATGTCACTGTTTTGAATAAAAGTTCATCCTAAGCCTTTGGGCATCTGGTATCACAAGTTGTCAAGCATCAGAGTAATAAGCCTTGCAGAATAGTCAGATCAGGGAGAGGAAATGAATGACCACTAAACATAAGAATAAAAAGTGCATATGCTGATTTTTGGCCATCTGCAGACAGAGATGGATTTTAAATTCCATTTCAAAGGAAGCAGAAACTGATCCTTTCACCAAGCAGCATTCAACAATAACTGTGAAAAGTGACTGCTTGGAGAAGACACCGGTATTAGTCATTCCCATCCATTTTAGACATTTGTCATCCACATTACATGGCACACAGCTAAAATTACCCAAATGTTAACAGAAGCAGCAGGGTTACTACAGAGGAGTTTTAGTTAAAAATACACATTTTATTTCAATGTGCCAATAAAAAAGTCCCGCATTTTCGTTTCACGGGAAGTTAATTCATACAATAAAAAGAGACCTGTGCTAGTCTATTAGTGTGACTAACTCAGAAGATCCAGATCATGCCAAATTTTAGTTGATATACTCCCCTATCTACATTCTTACATTTACAAAGACACCACAAAATCCCTTATAATAATGTAAGCAAAATAACTTTCTTCCTAAAAGATTAACTTTAATCCATTCTTTCAGGACTTGCACTTCTTTGAGGGCTTCCTGATGGTGAACGACTGAAAGGAAAAGAATCCACAGTTAACATTACAGTAGTCATGCTGGATTCACAAATACAAGAAAAAGCAACAAGAGGATACTCAGACTACTCCACATCCTTTAAGCACTGTTTTTATAAACTAAAAAAAAAAAATCACTATTGACAAAGTTAATGGGTTGACAATTTAATGTTAAAGATACTACCTTTTTCTTGTTAACTTTCATATTGTTGCATTTCTCTACTGTTAGTTTTACAATACAATTAAAATGTGATCAAGTGACCTTAATGGAAGCAGGATATTTCTTCACTGTTCTGATACAGCAACTTGTCAAAATTTATCATGATCATTCAACGTTGAGCATTTATTCAAATCCTTTGTGATTGTGACCCGAAAGATCACCAAGGCAAGGCACACATTGTGGCAGGTCTACTACTATTTACTATGATACCTCTCCTCCCCACAAATCCTGAACACCAAATGGACTATTAAAGAACTCAAACTAGGGGAAAAGATGCTGATTCTGTCACTACATCTATATGCAAACACACAGAGAGATAACAATTTACTAATTTACTGGGGGCAAAAATTAATCCTGAGTAACAGCAATAAAACTAACAGGCTCAATCATCCATTCCTGACTGGTATGCAACATTACTCCACTCTCAATTCCCCAATCTCACTGTAGCTTTTAATGAGACTCAAAGCTAATCCCCACATTTATTCTGTGCTTTAAACTCAGTAGTTGAAAGTCTTTGTGCAATAAAACTGTTAGTGAACTGAACACAGGAGCAGACAAAGACAAGAAGTAATGCTGGTATATAACCAGTATCCCAAAGAATTATTACCAGCTATATATTTACCATATATAAAACCACAATCACAACATTATTTCTGTTGAAGAGATCTTGGCAAAATACCTCTCCATTATTTCCCTACAAGTGGCAGTCAAACTCCCCAGCAGAGATCACTGCAGATACTAAACTGCCAGCACTATGTAGTCTACATTATTAGTAGGGAGATGAACATACCTTCTCTTTGGAGATGGTGATCGGGACTTTGACCGACTGTCAAAACAGAATATCATCAATGCAGCTTAAAGGTCAAATTCAACTTTTATATTAAAAACCTAATAAATAAGCATCTTAAACAGCAATGGAATCACTACAGGAGTCTGGCCAGAAGCTCTTTAAAATATTTAAGTTTTCAAATCAAGTTTTACTGTGACAGGGTATTTAGCATGGAGCCTTATTTTAAGCCACCATCTTCAGTAGACTGAACAGGCAAACAAATGGTAATAGAGGCAAGGCTTTGAGAAACATTATCACAGACTCCTGCTGTTTTATCAACAGCCTTCATAAAGCTAAAGCCCTTTTCCTGGTGGATAGAAAAATTTAACACAGCTGAGCACAGACACACACAAAATTACTATGCTGGAAACTACAAACAGGTAATGAAACCAAAGAGACAGACAAGGAACATATTCCAAACAGCTGCAGAGGAACTTCTATCTCAGTCACACCACCACCAGATTAGCTGGGCACACATTTGGGGAGATATTTTTGTAAAGGACTAGGCTCTGTTAGCCATTCAAACCTACTACTGAATACTAGCTACTACTACAGGTTTATCACTGTATGCTTACCTCTTAGCTGGCGAGCCAGATTTTGATCTCCCATGGGACCTAGACCTACAGAAAGAAAAACCATGGCTCAGCAGGGAAGCTGGTAGCATGCATGTTCCCATATTTGAGACAGGAAGATTCACACTAAATGTGTAAGACCTGGTATTAAGATGCGACATATTTTATTGACAGGTAGAGAAAGTGTACCTGATCAGCGAAAGGCATTGCTCTACTGCCTCAGGGAATTTCCCTTCTTATTAGCTTCTGAACTGTTTGTGAGAATGTCTGCTCTTAATGCAGCCGTCTTCTCATCTTCATCTGTCCATTGCCTAAAAACTCCTGTTACTGCTTGCTGTTCCACTCTCAGAAAATACCACCACCTTTGAGCACTGAATCTCCCATCTTCAGCTATGGCCTTTTCCACTTACTCCCCTCAGCTAAAACTTCCCTTTTATTTTCCTGTGTTTGGTTGTTATGGTTACGTTGTTTATTTCAAACAGCAGCCATCAAACCAGAACAGTAAGTCTGGGAATGGGCTGTTGCAAGAGCAGTACCATCTCCTTCAGAGCAGAACCTCAATTTACTCTTGTTCTCCTATGACATCTTGCCCAGGACATCTCATCAACCTCTATCAGCCACACTGCCTGGACAAAATTGCATAAAGCAGACACTGCATTCATTTACTATGGAAGGATTAAGCTACAAGTTGAGAGAATGAATGACATCCTGTGTGCCTTTGAAATTTCATCTTATGGCACATTTATTGGTACAAAATAATTCTGACAAGTATTTATCTCCAATTTAATTCAGCTCCTGCAGGCTGACACTCGTCAACAGAGCTGGAAGCAGCTATAATACTCAGTACTAACAAGCCCTTTGTGACTTGCCTGGCTATAGGCATTAGTGCTTTAATATGCTACCAGAAGGGCATCTGTATCCCTCTGACAAATAAAGGGAAGAATGCACAATCTCTTCTGTGCTATACAAAGAAAAAGGAAAAACCTTTTCTGATTAATTCTAAATTTGTTTGCTATGTTAGCTGTTAATACAACCTGATGAAAATGGTTCCATGATGACTACTGGGACCTGGATATCAGTAATACATAAAACAATACAAGAACAACCACCTTCTGCACTGCTTTTTAGAACTACAGACCCCGATGTTAATGGGGTTTAAACAAAGCTTTTTCCGAAAATCTGAACAGCTGTTAGAAAGCCTAAACAGACTTTCCAGCAACTTTTACTAAGCACTTGCAGTCATAGAAGAGATCTTACCTGCTTCGGGGCCATGTAACAGATCTGGATCTAGATCTAGATCTTGATCTAGACCTGTAATAAAAAATAAACACAAGGTGAAACAAAATCAAAGTCAACTCTATCTACATGATCATTAGATGGCTTAGACATCAAAATTCATCATGGGATATGCAGTTGGGTAAGTGCTCAAAACTCATCATACAACCACACCTGTAAATTCAACTAGGATTATATCAGAGACTTTATAAATAAAGTGTGCTAAAGTCAGATTTCTAGAGGTCAACAGCTTTTGCAGTCTGCCCTCCAACACCTCCTTGAATCCTCTAATAAAAGCAAAAAAACCCAACAAAAACAACGCACACAGGCTATTAAAAATTAACACCAATTACCTTGATCTCTTCAAGGATGCCGATCGGGACCGGCGGGGAGAAACAGACCTAGACCTACGAGGAGAAACGGAGCGGGATCTACGATAGGAAGCTGACCTGGACCTGCAAAGAAGTTGATGAAAAAGGAGTTGCACAAGTGTAGCTCTTGTTAAGCAGAAGAAGCAAACAGGAATAAGAGACAAACTTAAACACACCTCCTACCACGACTCCGACTGCGTGAGCGAGAATACCTTCGTCCTCGGGACCGCGAACGGGATCTCGACCGGGACCTGGGTTTAGGTTAGAGAAAAAAGGTATGAGGACAAAGCTGCAGCAACCAATGCATGTGAGGCCCTGCTGAAGTCAAAACTTATTTCAGACAACTAAAGAACTAGCATCTGTCAGCTGGAAAAATCTCTGGGCCTACTCGTCTTGAGCATTTTACTACCTAGGAAAATGTTAAAAGCTGAATGACATTGCAGAATTACATTAGAATAGAAAACACTGTAATGCGTATTTAAAATAAACCTTGCAAGTTTGCAGGTCGACCCTCTTTGGCCCAAGGTCTAGCAGATCTAGACGATCTAGAAGTATCTATAGCCGATCGCTGCATCTAGGTGTTCTCTTCAATCTAACGACGATCAAACTGACAGCCCAATGAGCCAGGGTGAGGCTTGATTGACGCAAGAAGATTTTTCTAGGTGGGAATGTGGTCAATCTGGTGTTCCTCTTTCTAAACCGGAGGGGGGCCCCAATTGAAAGCCAAATTTACTGTTACGGCGATCACCGTCTCAATTTTTCTGCCCTTAAAGAATAAGGTGAAGCTACGTGTAGATGGCTCGAGGGGATCTGGCCTCTTATGCTGATCACCTCAAGGTCTAGGAGGATCTTAAGTGTCGGATTTGCAAGGCGCCTCAGCATGAAATCTTAAGGCTCGTGACATTCTGAATCAAGGCGACTGACTCAAACGAAGAAACCTGAAAGGTTTTGACCAGGTTGATTATTAAGATATTAACATTTGATAGAAATAGCAACAAATTGTAATATACACCTATACAATTATTCTAGCGTTAAAGTTTAAAGAAAACTGGTGCAACATTGTGTTCTTGGCTAACAAGAGCTACACAACAGAGAACTGGCGAAGCAACCCAGCCACTCTGGCCCCACACGTACCTGCTCCTCCTTCGGCGACTATAGCGGTGACAATCATAAGCATAGTGGCCTTTCTCACCACACTCATAGCATCTGTCGTTTGGGTCAAAGGGGCGCCGGGCAGGAGGCCTGTCATAACGGGAGCGACGAGGCATCCCAGTTGACACTTCCACTCTAACTCTGGAGCCACAAATCACCCTGCAACAGGTTCATAATGCCCCTAAGTTAATTGTCACTGTTTATTGCAGAACTACAAAAAGGAGAAGAAAAACCCCTGGTCTTAAAACCGGCTGTAGCTTCTGAAAACATATGCATACGTACTTTCCATCAAGTCCACGGACAGCATCCTCAGCATCCCTCGGATCTTCAAACTCCACGAAGGCAAACCCCGGCGGGTTCCTCGCAATCCACACGGTTCTCAGGGGCCCGTAGTAGCTGAAGGCTCTCTCCAGCTCGCCCTTTCCAGCGCCCGTGCCCAGGTTCCCCACGTACACCTTGGTCTCTGCCGGGAACAAGGCCGCTGTCAGCGATGGTGCAGGAGCGCGCTCCCAAGGAAGCGGCGCCTCCGCTCCGCCTCACCCCTGGCGCCGCCATCTTGTGTGCGGGGCCCGCTACCGCCTTCACGAGCGGCGGCACGCGCGCGCAACCCCCTTCCCCTTCCCCTTCCCCCCCCCCCCCCGCGACTGCCCCTTCCGAAAGCTCCCCCAGCCTGCCCTCGCCGCAGCCCCCCGCCCCTCACCGCACCGCAGGCACTCACCGCCTCCATAGCGGCCGTAACGCGACATCCTAACGGCTCCGCTCAGCCACTCCTCCGCGCGCACGCGCCGCCGCACGCGCCTGCTCCCTGCCCTCCTCTGCCTCCTCCCTCAGGCGGCGCGCATGCGCGTGGGCCGTGGTCCGCGCAGGCCGTAGGACGGGCTTTAGCGGGGCGTTGTTGCCACGGCGACGTGCGGCCTATAGCGGCTGAGGGGGAGCGCCTGAGCCGGCGGAGCGGGCTTCTGTGCCTACCACGGTCTCGGGGAGCCGCCCGGTCACCGGTGGGTCCCCGCGGTGAGCGAACGGGACCGCGGCGGGAGGAGGAGCGAAGGCCCAGTAGTGCCTGACAAGCACCGTTTCCCCGGGGCGGAGGGAAGCGGTTCGGGCTTTGCCGGTCCTCCCAAAAGGGCGCTGTAGGACTGGGGAAGCGGTGCAGTAATACCGGCGGAGTTCTTTGGTCTCACGAATTGTGTATTTACAACTTCATCTGTGCCACAGCTTCCACTACTAGTACAGCTATTGGAGTTATGAGAGTTGCGCCGCTTTTTGACTGTGACTTAAGGTTAAATTTACGGTGTAAAAGCTGTAGTAACTGCTCACGATAGTGACCTTTGTCTGTAAATACAGCTTAGATGACAGGATAAAAAAATTAGGGGCTCTGTAGTCAGAACAATTAACTACAATAGAAAAAGAAAAAAATCAGTATGGACTAAGACCAGCAAAAATTAAAACCGAGTATGTTTGGAGTATTTTGATCAAAAGGGACTACTGCCCTCCATTCCATGATCCAGAAGGGGACTGGTTAGGAAGTAAACCTAAAATGTGCTATGCTTACAAATATATAAAACCCAAACCATACTCCGTCTTTCCACTGCTTTTCTTTCAAACAGGAGCTCTGAATTCCCATTGTGTTGCTTGCTTTTATAATGAAAACAGATTTGTTCATCCCTGCTTTTGTAATAAATCATAACTCTGAAAGAAAACAGTAGCCGAATACAGAGGCATAGACCATTCCTAAATAATCACTGTAGCACTGTGGAAGTTCAATTGAAACTTTTTTAGAAAAGGAAATTAACCTCCTCAAGCTTGCAACATGAGACTTGTTTTATATCCTTGATTTTTGTTACGCTCTCAAAACCATCACATGCTCGCTTACACTTAAAATTACTGAAACAATGGCAGCTGGTTTGCTTCATCCATAGGAAGCTTTTCCAGCTTTTCGTTGTTAAGAGAGAGGTTTTGGGATGGGAAAACACGTTTCTCACCTTCATGGCTACACAGGAGTGCTTGTGAAGACAACTGTAAACCAGGGAGCAGATATATTTTTATGGAGTGGATCCACACAGCACGCACCTATACCTATTTAAGTACCCAGATTTCCTGAAGAGGCAGTGGTTTTGCATGCTGGAGTGAGTGATCCCAGCTCTAGCAGCAGGATTGCCAAACCCGGCCGAATTCTAGCTAGGCGGAAGGCAGCACACGGGGTAGGTGCATGCCCCACCTCCTTGTTTCGCAATCTGGCCTCTTATGTATATAAACCTATGTATAATTTATATGCACACCCTTATTTTTAAAACACCGCATCTCTGAGCATTTTCCTGCCCCGGAAGCCTCCAATTCCGTGCTTAAAATAACCCAAAATACTCAAACTGTGTCGGGGGAGGGCGCTGAGCGGCAGCAGGAAGCGGCAGGCCCAGCTCCCGGGCACCGTCGGCAGACGCGGGAATCGAGTCGGTGAGCGGGAATCCGGGCTGCAGGGCCGGGGATTCTCCCCTCTCTTGCCCTGTGGCACTGGGTGGCTCTCCTGCCGTGCCCAGCTCGCTGCCTGCCCTACCCGTCCCGCTTCAGGCTTTGAGGACCCTTGGGGGAACAAAGCAGGGCGCTTCCTCCTGCCCTTTGTCCGCCCTCCATCTCTCCCCAGCCCACATCCGGTGGGATACGGGGATGGAGACAAACGGTTGTGCGACACCACGCTGCAACAAGGGTGGCTCTGCTCTGATTGCTAGTAGTGCAGCTGGTACGGAGAAAAGAGTGGAAGAGCACTTGCTGTACTGTAGGGGATGAGGATAGAGCCAGGATCCGGGTGGATAGCAGGCAATGGAAGGGCATAGACACCAGGGATGTGCCAGTACACAGAGTAAGGGGAGTAAAATTCTGCCCTTAAGGATCAGGAAAACCGAGGTTTTGTAAGGGGGCAGAATAACACATGTAATATTTAATGCCACGGGACAGTGTTATATTAGCAGAGCAATAATTTTTGTCAATATTTGTGCCTTTAAAAATGGGTGAACTGGGTGGGAAATTGCAGAACTGCAGCAATATGCAAACCACTTGTGTGAATGTTGGCTTTTAAAATAAAGCAAATTAGGCTTAAGACAAATGGAAGATTCGTACCATGATGCAAATTTGCTTCTCATGTGAAAGGCAAAGCAAAAGGATTCATTGCTTCTGCTAATTGCTCTATTTTCTAGGTTCTGGATGCAGGAAATATGAATGAGTGGCAGAAGAAAAGCCCTCTAGAGTGGGAAACATATTTGAACAAACTGGTGAAAGTTGCTGTAGTTGAGAAACATGAATATGAAGGATGGGTCTTAACAGTTGATCCAGTTTCTGCTAGGTAAGTACCAAAGCTTTTGTTTCCGTAAAGCTAAGGGAAGATAAGTTTTTCAGGAAAAGATTCCAAGACTGAAGCAAATTTATTTGGAGAAAAAAAAATGCACGTTTGGGTTGTGTTTTCTGGTTTTTGGTTGGTTTTGTTTTGTTTTGTTTTTGTTTTGATTGTCAAGACCTAAAAGAAAGCAATATTGCAGTTGATGAGGCCAGTTTACCTAAAACCACTGTAATCTCATTCAAAGGATTGAAGAGTTTTGGGAATGGATAATCTGAATTCATGCTAACTTTATTGTGGGCCTGAGGTTAGTACTTTAAATGATATCCATGTGTTCAGGATCACTTTTAATAATATACTAAGCCCTCCTTCCAGAAAGCAGGAATAAAGGAATATTTTTAATGCTTTAGATGTTCAAATCCTTATCCTCTGTCCAGAGTTCTCACATTGATGCCCAGCTCTCTCCTGCAGCCAAACAGCCATGACAGTGCAGTGGCTGCTTTGGAGAGGAAGCAGGGAAAATCAGCCATGACATTGGCCAGAAAGTGGTACCACAGGTCTCTAGTATTTCAAATGAGTAACTTGAAAACAGGGTTTGAGACGTAGGACGCACCAGAGAATGGGCAGAAATTTGTCTCCGTGCTGCCAGAGCATTTTCAGACCTTTTTGGTTGTGTGCTTGTCCCACTTGAGCACAAGATGGAGGATAGAAACAAAACCATCCAGCTTCTGATGTTTCAGAAGAACTGGTTGTTACTTCAACTCTGGAGTAGCTCCAATACTCTAATCTTCTCTTGGAGTTGCCCATCATTTTAGGAGGAAAGGTACACACAGCTGTGAGTGATTCTGGGAATGGCTCAGGCTAAAATCAAGGCATATTTCATCACAAGTTTCCCAGAAAGTCATTACTTCCACTGATGGTGGCAACAGTAGATTGACAAAGTGCTGGCATCAAATTCAGGAGTGTTTCTTCCCACAAGACAGAAAAAGGTTTTCTGATCCTCTATGTTGACAGATGGGGAAGAGATCCTGGAAATGTAACAAGCTGCTTTCCTACCTCTATTTTAGGACTTCTGGAAAAAGTCCTTGGGAAAAGAGCAGGCTGCTACAAAATGAGCCTGAACCTGCTGTCCCATTTTAGTATGCAAGCTATAGTTTTCAGTTAAGAAGTTAGCAACACTCATGTAAAACTAAAAAAGTCATGATCAATAATGAGGTATTAATAATTTGACATTAAAAGGTTCTGATGTTAACTACCACCACTGCCTTCAGCATTCAAAGTGCTGAATGTATGTTGGTTTTGAATGTTGGAAGACTTAAGGTTCTTCAGCAAGGTTGGGAATGCTGCACAAAAATATTTAGATTCCCAGCCCTGCTTTTAATGTACACTTTTTTTTTTTGTGAAAGTAACGTTCTGCTTGATCGTGTCTAGAGTGGTTTCAAATTCAAGACCAGAAGGTGCAAAGCCACACATTTTCATTATTTTAAAGGTATAGCAGCATGCTCTTCAAGAAGAATGCTGAGTACTCGATGGTGACTAAATTCTGGGTTATGCTGACACTAATGAGCACTCATCTCCAAGAATCTTGGCCTCTTTTTTCTCAGTCTTCATTTAAATACAGTGACTCATGCATCCTTCTTTCCTTGCCAGTATTGTCCTTGCAACATTCCCGGAGAATGAAAGTGTGTCCATATCAGTTGTCTTGGGCCATGCTGTCGAGGAGGTAGAAATACTGAAAGAAGGGGACGATGAAATGAAGCAACGGCTTTCTTGCATATTTGAACCTGAGGAAAGCAAAGCCTACAGCCCAGAGGAACTTGAAAAGAGGAAGAACAATTTGAAGACTTGGCTAGAAACAAACCACATCCCCATAACAGAGCAAGGCGAATCGGGAAAGACGCTATGTGTGGCAGGGGTATTGACTATTGACCCACCATATGGCCCAGAAGAGTGCAGCAGCTCCAATGAGATTATTCTGTCTCGAGTTCAAGGCTTAATACAGGGCTATCTTGAGAAAAACCAATGATATCTGCTGTTTAAAGCAGTTGCCTTTAGGAATGAGTGTACCTGGCCTATTTTAGGAACTGTCTGGGGTATAAATATTTGCAAAAATGCTGGGTTTAGATACTTTTGTCTGATTTTTGTATGTTAAGAAAGGGTTAAAACAAGCAGTATAAACTAAAACCATGAAACATGTTTTCCCTGAACTGTTTTTTACTAAAAGCAAGCTGTTGGGTAATGATAATGTATTAAACTGATGATGTAAGCTTACTGTATCAGGAATAAGATAATGTATCAGTTGAATAGCTATTTTTGTAACAGTACTGTGAAAGATGATATATGATAAATTTAAACTGTGTTTTCTTCTGCCTTTAAAATTAATCTAATTATCCAGTGGTGTAGACATGTTTATCTGAATTTGGAATCACCGAACCAGATGAAAAAATTGTTCTGTTTTTTTGTTTGTTTTTTTTTCCCCACAACTGTTCTCCTAATTTGGAACATGGATTATAATGTAGGTCCAAGTTTTTAAAATTATTAGGGAAAGATAGCAGGCAAAGAGCAGGTTTTTAAAACATTTCCTATCTATCATTGCTGTTTTAGAGCAGCAGTGATTGGAAGGCCTTTGCTTCATAGAGAATTCCGTGCAATTCAATGTTTCTGTTTCCTGTTGCTTTGGTTTTATCTTTTGGCAGCACACAGTGCAAGAATCATTGTGTTATTATTCCTGAGCTTGTTAACATACAGCCCTCATTTATTTCCTATATTGATTTGTTCTGTCTTGAGATCACACCAAAACATGTAAATGTGATCAAATGCACTTTGGAAGCCTGCCTAACCCTTGTTAATAAAATGCCATGCTCATTCCTGCTGTGGCTTATTTAAAATCACTTCAGATTGGTCAGGTTCACGCTGTTTTTTCTTAAAAATAGTTATCTGCACGTATGCTGCTGTGCGTGTCTCCCTGCAAAGGTTGGTAGATGCCAACAAAAATGCTTATGCCGTCTGTCTGGATGAGGGGATTGGGCAGTACTTGAATTCCAGGGCACGCAAGGCTCATTGGGTTGTATTCGGTGTGAGAGCTAGTGTCGGGTCAAACTCTGCTCAGCCGCTTTAAGAACAGCTTGTGAACGCCCCGTCACGCAGAATGTAGCACCTCCTTGCCCGGGAGCGAAGAGCCTGGTGAGGTTCATCGCCTCAGACTCAGCACGCCGCCCGCCCGCCGCTCTTCTCGCGAGATCTCCCCGCGGCCGGGAGCGGGGCTGCTCCGCCCCGCGTTGCCAAGCGACCAAAGCCCACCCCGCAGTCTCCCCGAGCGGTCGGGGCGCGGCGCGGCGCGCAGTCGCAGCGGAGACTCCGTGTGCATAAGGGTGGTGCGCGGGGTTCAGTCTGCAGCCGGGAAGATGTCGCGCTATGGGCGTTATGGTAAGGGGGAACGGGGAGTGTGAAGCGAGCGGGGGGCTGCCCGTGGCGGGAGCGGCGTCGCTCGCTCTCCGCTGAGGGATGGGAAAAGGTGGCCGTTGGCTTCTGGCGGCCGGCTGCGAGAGCGGAGGGGGCCGAGGAGAGAGGCTGCTGGAGCAGCCGTGGGTCGGTGGCCGCGGGTTCGGTGGACAGTGGGCCCCGGTGAGGGCGGTGTGGAAGGGAGGGAGCGGAGCGGCGGGAGCACACCAAAATGGAGGCGGTGTCAAACATGGCGGCGCTTCAAGGCGAAGGGGGGGGGGGGGGAGGGGCGGCAGCGGCCGGCCCGCGCGCGGCCTCGTGTCCTGGGCCGCGCCTGCGCACTGCAGGCTTGCGGAGCGGCGTGCGGGCCTGACATGGCGTCCATCCATGCAGAGACCAAGGTGTACGTGGGGAACCTGGGCACCGGCGCTGGAAAGGGCGAGCTGGAGAGAGCCTTCAGCTACTACGGGCCCCTGAGAACCGTGTGGATCGCGAGGAACCCGCCGGGGTTTGCCTTCGTGGAGTTTGAAGATCCGAGGGATGCTGAGGATGCTGTGCTTGGCCTTGATGGAAAGTATGTTTATGCCTGAAATGTCCTTGACTGCTGTGGCTGCAGTTTTAGCCTGCACCCATCATCAGTACCCGTTCTGTGTGTAGCAGGCACAGGGGAGACAAGTATTCTTGTGATTCATACATACTACGTCTTTCAGGATAATATGTGGCTCCAGAGTTAGAGTGGAAGTGTCAACTGGGATGCCTCGTCGCTCCCGTTATGACAGGCCTCCTGCCCGGCGCCCCTTTGACCCAAACGACAGATGCTATGAGTGTGGTGAGAAAGGCCACTATGCTTATGATTGTCACCGCTATAGTCGCCGAAGGAGGAGCAGGTACGTGTGGGGCCAGGGTGGCTGGGTTGCTTCACCAGTTCTCTGTTGTGTAGCTCTTGTTAGCCAAGAACACAATGTTGCACCAGCTTTAACTCTTAATATTGTAAGTCAGCAGGTGTATATCACTTTTTTTTTTTTTGCTAATACATATAAAATGTTAATATCTTAATAATCAACCTGGTCAAAACCTTTCAGGTTTCTTCGTTTGAGTCAGTCGCCTTGATTCAGAATGTCACGAGCCTTAAGATTTCATGCTGAGGCGCCTTGCAAATCCGACACTTAAGATCCTCCTAGACCTTGAGGTGATCAGCATAAGAGGCCAGATCCCCTCGAGCCATCTACACGTAGCTTCACCTTATTCTTTAAGGGCAGAAAAATTGAGACGGTGATCGCCGTAACAGTAAATTTGGCTTTCAATTGGGGCCCCCCTCCGGTTTAGAAAGAGGAACACCAGATTGACCACATTCCCACCTAGAAAAATCTTCTTGCGTCAATCAAGCCTCACCCTGGCTCATTGGGCTGTCAGTTTGATCGTCGTTAGATTGAAGAGAACACCTAGATGCAGCGATCGGCTATAGATACTTCTAGATCGTCTAGATCTGCTAGACCTTGGGCCAAAGAGGGTCGACCTGCAAACTTGCAAGGTTTATTTTAAATACGCATTACAGTGTTTTCTATTCTAATGTAATTCTGCAATGTCATTCAGCTTTTAACATTTTCCTAGGTAGTAAAATGCTCAAGACGAGTAGGCCCAGAGATTTTTCCAGCTGACAGATGGTAGTGGTGTGGTTTTCTTTTTGTGTTGTTTTTTTTTTTAAATATATTTTTGTTTCTTTTTTTTGTTTTCTTTTTAGTTGTCTGAAATAAGTTTTGACTTCAGCAGGGCCTCACATGCATTGGTTGCTGCAGCTTTGTCCTCATACCTTTTTTCTCTAACCTAAACCTAGGTCCCGGTCGAGATCCCGTTCGCGGTCCCGAGGACGAAGGTATTCTCGCTCACGCAGTCGGAGTCGTGGTAGGAGGTAGGTTTCTGCCTGTTGTATATACATGCCTTTCCTTACTCCTCCCTCTGCTCCACTCCTTTCTCTGCTCCTTGTGAAAAATCACTTGCAGTAATTCTAATTGGTGTTCCCTTTCTTTTGTAGATCGAGATCAGCTTCCTACCGCAGGTCCAGGTCAATCTCTCCTCGTAGGTATAGGTCATTTTCACCCCGCAGATCTCGATCTGGTTCTTTAAGGAGATCAAGGTTTGTGTTCTTCATTAAGCCCACAACATTGTTGAAGGGAACGTAACTATTGGAGTTAACATTTAGATTGTTTTGCAGTTCATGTGTTTACAGGAGCCTTTATGGTGTAACATTCCTCAGAGCTAGCTGAATGCTTTGTTTGATGTTAAAAACGAAACATAAAATTCTGGAATTGCTGTTTCTGAGGTCTTTTATACTTCAGCTGTACTAAAGATACAGCTTTGATCCAAGGTTAAGTTTTCATACTTCACTTTTAAAGCTACAAGGAGTAACTGTGCTTAATCAGCTAGGGCAGTAGAATTTATGTGTTCTGGGTAGTACTGGTTAAATGTACTACATCTTTCTAATAATAAACGTTATTCTTGCAAAACTAATAGTTCCAACAAAATTATCTGAGATTAGTATCATAAAAATCAAAGAATATTATCTCAGCTATGTGAATTATATAGCAGTAGTTGATCTGTTGCTGCTTTTTCCTAGATCTAGGTCCAGGTCACGCTCAAGGTCCCGGTCTGTTGTATGGCCTCGAAGCAGGTAAAATACTTGTTTTAATTGAAACTTATACTAGTATTGGGGGTAGTTATTTTGTGGGTTTTTTTTGCTTTCCTGGGAGAATTTGACTGGAAGGGTTTAGGAAGTTGAATTGCACAGCAATGTTTGCATTTAGTAATTTACGCTTTTTCACAGACTATAGTAGTGGCTGATTTCTTGACTAAACATGAGCTTGTTTGGTTTGTGGACTCTATATATCGTGTCTCTATAGCCATAAACAAAGCATATATATGCTTTAAGGTTTGTGGAGAGAAGTATTGAGGACTAGTTAATACCTGTGCATGTAGAGAATGCTTGACCTTGAGACCTGCAGGAAATGTTGCTTAGGTTTTTCTTTGCATGGTTTCTTTGTAAATCCCAAATGGTGGGGCTGGGTGGGAAGCAATGAGGTGGTTGCTACTATTAACTGAACTCTTGCTTACAGCTTTTCAGCTTTGTCAGTTCCAGTTCTGAGAGTTAGATCAAATTAAATTGCTGAGAACTATATTACATGGGGTAAGGTGCTTGACTTGAGAGGTTTGAAGGGTTGAGTGGACAGGACCATGAGTCCTAATGCCACAGGTGGTGTGTTGAAGGACTTCGCTGACATGCAGCCCTAGTTTTATGGATCTGGATATTTTCTATGCTGAAATGGAAGCTGAGTAAAATGGGCATAGAGTAAGTGTTCCTGTATTATTTTCCTCCATCTTTCGTAATAAGTTTTAGTTGGAAGAAGGGTGAAAGAATAGGATAAAAATGTGGTGGACAGGAGATCTGAAGTTAGCAGTAGTTATCTTCTGTTTTGTACTATAATGGGGGATGAGAAATGTTTTCAGTCTGCTACCTTGGGACTTGCACATTGAGCCTAAAGGGGGACGATGATTATTACTAGAGCTGTCCTGACTTACTATTTGTACAAGCCTGTAATGAGGGCTCAAAATGCATGCTGCTACTGTGGAAGAGTTTGGATGCTGCTGATGTTGCTCAGGGACATCTGGGGCAGTCATGTTCCTGCATGAAGGACTTGATACTCATGTTGAAATTTCTGGGAAGTGATGACTTTATGCAGGTGTGCAAGAAGTGGTAGTTCAGGGCTAGAGTATTGGCAACATCATGAAAACTCCAGAGGTTCTTGTTCTCTGCTAATTCTGCAAAACACAAGTACAAAACCAGCACTGCTTTTAGAGCTTTTGACCTGCAATTCTGCTTTGCTGCTGTGCCTCTTGGAAGGTTTGTCGGCAGTTTTGGTAGCAAGATGATGCTCTTGTGTGCTGAAAGTTGTGCTTGTGCTGCAAAATGCAAGTTCTGGGTACTTGAGAGCAACCCCATTCTGTGTAACTGTGATACAGTAGCAAAATAACTGTTTTTAATGTTAAGAGCTGTGACCAGGAAGGTTTCAAAGCAGTGGTATGTAACTCTCTTTTTAACTTACAGTGTCCATGTAGTATTTCTATAAGTTAATAGGTCAGGTAAAGGTGAATCTTGGTTAGCCTTTAAAAGCAGTTCTAAGCAGAAATAGACTCATAGAATGGTTTGGGTTGGAAAGAACTGTAAAGCTCCTCCAGTTCCAACTCTCTGCCACAGGCAGGGACACCTTCCACTAGACGAGGCTGCTCCGAGCCCTGTCCAGCCTGGCCTTGAACACTGCCAGGAATGGGAAAGTCGCAGCTTCTCTGGGCAGCCTGTACCAGAAGTTTGTTTTTTGGCTAAGTCTGCTAAGCAACTGACTCTTGAGCACCAGGCTTTCTGATGTTCATGCCT